ACCCCACACAGTACACTCTAAAGGAATGAATGGATTGATGTATAGGCCAGTTTGTTTTAAGGGTGGGGTTTTAGAGAGGCTTGGGGTGTCCTTCCCAGGCTGCCACTCTTTGGGTCAGCAGGGCTCCCTCCCCTTGGTGGTGAAATCATGCCCAGTGGGAGAGGCTTCTGGGAAATGGCTTTTGTTGCTTCTTTCCTGAATGTTTACCTGGTGATGCTTGGCTTCCCAGGGCTGCTGATCAATTAAGGATTAGAGAGAAAAACAAACCAACCCTGCTTGCAGTTTAGTCATACCATTTCAGGGGAAAGATCTCAATCCTGAAACAAACCAGGTTTCAAGCACGAATTTCAATGACTTCTGATAACATAATCCAGAGTTCAGGATCTGCCTTTGGACCATGGGGGTAAGGAGAAGTCTGAATCTTTATTTTCAAGAGGTAAAAGTGTAGTATTGTTATGATTAGGGCATACTATAAGCTTCTTTGAGGTAAACAAAAAAAAAATGGGAATGTTGAGTTTTTCTTCCTCCTGTTCCCTCCCTCCATTTTTTCTCCCCTTTCTCCTCTCCCATATTTCTGGAGATGCTCTGATATTTCAAGACAGTGTTTCTCAGCTTTGGTTTCATTGAACACCAGCTTCTCCATTTCTGCCCAATGCACAACACATCTCTACCAGTAGCTACTTAATTTAAAAAATGCTCTTCCCTGGGCTGGGAAGGTGGCTCAGTGGTAGAGCACTTGCCTTGCATGCATGAGGCCCTGGGTTCGATTCCTCAGCCACCACATAAGCAAAAAGAAAAAAGCCGGAAGAGGCACTGTGGCTCAAGTGGTAGTGCGCTAGCCTTGAGATGAAGAGCTGAAGGACAGCACCCAGGCCCAGAGTTCAGGCCCCATGACCGGACCAAAAAAAAAAAAATGCTCTTCCCTTTGTTAACTTATACAAATATGGTCTTCTCTAAAACAAGGTTTGATTGTCCTTCTGGTTGCATATACCACCTCTACATAAGAAGGGACATATCGGTGGGCTAGGAAGTTAGTTCAGTGGTAGAGTGTTTGCCTCGCATGCATGAGGCCCTGGGTTCGATTCCTCAGCAACACATAAGCAGAAAAAAAGCTAGAAGTAGCGCTGTGGCTCAAGTGGTAGGGCACTAGCCTTGAGCTGAAGAGCTGAGGGACAGAGCCTGGGCCAAAGTTCAGCCCCCACAACCACCAGCAACAACAAAAAAAAGGGGCATGTCGGTATATACTGAGCACTAGGTTTCTGCTAAAGCTACCTTGTTGAGGACAGCTGGTGGTCAGGGGACTGTGCTTGTACAGCAGCACAGCAAGGTAGCAGGGGACTGTGCCTGGTACAGCAGCACATTAAGGTAGCATGGGCCAAATTTTAGTGAGTTGGTGAGGTCTGTCAAGAGGTCCAGGCAGGCCATGAGAGTCTTAATCTTTCTTTCCCAGCAATCACTGTGGGCTCGTCCCCAGCGCCATTTAGACACATTCCAGAAAACAAACAGATCTGGGGTAAATGTTGACCACTGTTAAAACTGTGAGTTTATTACAACCTTTGTGTAGATTGTGTGGATAATAAAACATTTTAGTCTTGCCTCCAACAAATTCACTCCTGGGAATTTATCTTAATGCATATTTTAAATAAAAATCTTTACAAAAAATTTTTTTTGCAAAAAAACAACAGATTGGGAACACATTAAGGCCTCACAATAGAATAAACTGTATATACCCTCAATGGAATTCTATGATTATAAGCATTTATTCAAACCATGGGGGAAAATAGGACATACTATTAAGTATAAAAAATTGTATATAGCATGATTAAAATGATGCAAAGATCTTTCTTTAAAAAAAGACTGTTAGAAAAATAACTTCATAGACTCAGAATCAGACTGTTTCCTCCCATACAATGGCCTTAGACTCCTAGAACAGTGGTGCCCCTTGTCTAGGTAGCATGAGTGCACCTGCAGTGGCTGATGCTCTCACCCCTGCACTCTGGAGGGAGCCTTCACAGATGTAAATCAGACATAGCTGTCCCTATCCAGAAGCTCCCAAAGGCTCTCACGTATTTCTGACAGCCAATCTATACTTTAGCCCAGTCCTCCGGGCTATGGCAGTGCCACCTGCTTGCCCTCATCTACTGCTCTGCTCCTTTGCTTCTCTTCAGACACAAATGCCAGCCTTAGGGCCTTGGCTCAAACTGTTTCTTCAGCTCTCTGGTTATCCGAATGAGTGTGCTTCTTTCCCAATTAAGGAAACTTGTTAAGCTAAAGTAGTTCCTCTCTGTACCCATATTCTTTCTTTTTTCTTCATAGCTATTTTAAACACTTATTACTTGCACTTCTGGAGGGAAAATGCTTTGAGAACAAAGACTTGATTCTCTGTTGCATCCTTTTACCTACCAGAGCCCAGCACACAATGAATTAAATAACTTCCCAAGGAAACTGTGGCTTCACATGGGCTCTTTCATTTTTATTTTGGTGGTAGGAATTTGAACTCAGGGCCTCATGCCTGCTAAGCAACCATACCTCTAGTTCTTTTGGCTTTATTTTGTAACATTTTTGCCAAGCTGGCCTGAGTGGTGATCCTACTTATACCTCCCATGTACCTGGAAAAACAGGCATGTACCACCATACCCAGCTTTATTGGTTAAGATGAGGTCTTTTTACCAATGGTGACCTCAAGCTGCAATCTTATCTCTACCTGCTGAGCAGCTGGGATTACAGGCCTGTGGGCTCTCTAGTTCTTCAGTGACCTCTTCCTTCTAAAACCTGATGGTGGCAAAACTCAGGCAGGTGCACAGTGGAAATCCAGGCAGTGGCTGGTATCATTCTCACAGTGCACTCCTTGCACAGTGCATCCTAGGAGCTGGAGGCAGAGCACTGGATAACACAAATGGATTTGGGAGGTGGAATATTGGCTTTGTCACGAGCTCACGACCTTTCGGGAAACAAGAATTTCTGAATATTTGCTAGGCTCGGGTGTCTCATGCCTGTAATCTAGGTACTCCGGAGGCTGAGATCTGAGGATCTCAGTTCAAAGCCAGCCCAGGCAGGAGTCTGTGAGACATTTATCTCCAATTAACCACCAGAAAACTAGAAGTGGTGCTGTGGCTCAAGGGGTAGATTGCTTGTCTTGAGCTGAAGAGCTTAGGCCGAGTTCATACCCAACTGAACAAAAAAATAAAAAAAATTGGAACATTCATTTTCCATTGTGCATAAAGAGATGGGTAAGAGTTCCTGCTCCCTGGAGCTAATTTGGCACTGAAGAGCATGCCCACAAAGCACTTGGCAAGCACAGTGGCTGGTGTGGAGTAAGTGCACAATGTGAAGCTGTCAATGAATTCACAGCCATTTTCATGCCTTTGGGGCTCTCAGGTTTATACAATGTGCTTTCTTTTTTTTTTGCGGGGGGGGGGTTGGTAGTGGGGCTTAAGCACATGGCCTGGACACTGTCCCTTAGCTATTTTGCTCAAGGATACCATTCTACCACTTTGAGCCACACACAACTTCTGGTTTTCTGGTAGTTAATTGGAGCTAAGAGTCTCACAGGGTTTAGTGGTAGAGTGCTTGCCTAGCATTCATGAAGCCAGAAGCGTCACTGCGGCTCAAGTGGGAGAATGCTAGCCTTGAGCAAAAGCAGCTCAGGGACAGTGCTAAGGCCCTGAGTTCAAGGACTGGCTGTGCATGTGTGTAGGGAGTCTCAGACTTTCCTGCCTGGGCTGGCTCTGAACCACGATCCTCAGATCTCAGCCTCCTAAGTAGCTAGGATTACAGGCATGAGCCACCAGTGCCTGGCTACAATGTACTCTGGTTTTTAATCACTATTTTACAGGGTGGAAATTGGGTCAATGAGTAAAGTGCTTGCCCATAAGCACAGCTGAATCCAGCAGAAGCCCCTTTCCCTCTCTTCCAGAACACAATGCCCAAGCTCAGGGAGGCAGCAGGTGCACAGACTCCCTTGTTTTGGACCTTTCCCTGGGTGAGGCACAGATGAGCCATCTCTTCCTCTGAACCCACCCAAGTTAAAATATTGCACTGTTGACTCCTGAGGGAAGAAATCTACAGTGCCCTTTTCTGTACAGTTTTTCCTGTAAAGAATTGGGCAGCAGCTCTAGGTGGCAAATGCCAGGATATCTTCCTGTGACCTCTCGCCTGGTCTACCCCTATTTCATCAAGGGAGGATGAGCTCTAAGCTACCTACCAAGGCCAAAGGCTGAGGAAGACTTAATGGCAAGGAAGAGACCCTCAGGCATTAGAAGTGAAATTTTGAAACACAAAAAAGTATTATAGGCTCTCTGGAGTCATGGACTATGAGAACTGCAGCATTATGACTGAAACACCTACACCCCAGCAAAGGGCACAGGCTGAGGCTGCTTTCAAACCCCGGTGGTTTCTGGGTCCTAAACCTGTATGGGTGAGAAGCTTGATGAATATTCAGTTGTGAAGAGCCTCTGAGGGCTACAGCTGTAGGGCAGAGGCTGGGAGAACTCATAAGCTCTTAGAGAGGACAACAGCCCTGACCACCAAGTAGTGCACACTGATGTCTATGGTGCCAGGTTTTTTGGAGCAGCCAACTCCCAGGCCCCGGGAGCACTGCCATGATTGCTGGGCTCAATGTATGAGCTGTCCAGGAGTACCCAGCAGCACCATGCCCGGTAATTCCCATTTGCATAGTTTACAATAGAGGTGAGTAGACCCCCAAACGTAGAAGTAAGAATTTTCTTGCTGGCCAGGTGGCAGAGATGGGTCTGAGGCTCACTTTGGAGATACATGGAAAAGTGACCAAGGGACCCACTAAGCTTAGGCTCCACCCAAACTCAGTTAAGGTCACTTGAGGTTGTCTATGCTAGTGGACTTTATTGACTTTTTTCCTGTGGTACTGGTATTTGAATTCAGAATCTCACCCTTGCTTGGCTGGTGCTATATCACTTGAATCATGCTTCCAGCCTAGCTTTTTGGAGATGGGAGTATTACAGACTTTTCTGCCAGGTCTCAGCCTCCTGAGTAGCGAATACAAGTATGAGCCACCAGTGCCCAGATGACTGATTTTTTAAAAATGAGGAAGAGTTCTTGGGGTAATCATGACCTAGTATCAAAACTATAAAAATCTCTCTGGAGAGAATTCTGCATCCCAGGGCTGCTCCAAGCAGGACAGAGATTGGACTACTTTGCCATGTGAGAATCCCCAGGAGAAGCAGCAGGAAGCACATGTGGGGAGGAGATGCACTGACTTCCAGCAGGTTTGGAAGCCTGGGATAGGCTGTCTTCCTCATCCAGGCAGTCCCTGGTGCTGCTCTTCACCTCTGGCAGCCAAGAAGAGCAGCTTGCAGTCCTGGGAATACCATTGGCTTCCAGGATTGGCTAGGGGGTGAGGAACAGCTCAGATTGGTGACAGGCTCTAGCCAGTGTCAGAACTCATCCCGAAGTTGAGGGGGCTTGTCCATGCCAAAGAAGGAAGACTGCTTCCCCTGGAGGTCCCGCTCCCGCTTCACAAAGGCAGTGAAGGAGGAGACACAGTTACCAATGAAGTGGTCAGCCTGACCAAGGATGTATAGGTCAGTCTGGGCCACCTCTGGCTTCAGGCTGACCACCTTCACCTGCAGAAGAAAGGGCAGAGTGTTAGCCACATGGCTACAGGACAAGGCTGCTTCAGCTGCTTCAGCTTGGCCAAGGCCCACAGGCCACACTTCCTCCGATCCCAGGCTGAGTACAGACTAGAAGAAGGTTATATGTACAGGAAGGGTAGAGAGGATGGAGTCATGGGATCAGGGGTCTTAGAGAAGTGTGCCCAGCTATCCAGGCCCAGCCTGTGCCCTTTCATCCAGCTTTGGCTCCAGGGGCACCATACTCATCACTGTGTCTTCACCTGTGTTGTTCCCTCTGCCTACAATGGCTTTTTTTTTGGGGGTGGGGGCTAATGTGCTTGAACTCTGGGCCTAGGCACTGTCCCTGACCTCCTTTTGCTCAAGCCTAGCACCCTACCACTGGAGCCACAGTGCCATTTATGGGTTTTTTGTTTGTTTGTTTTTGTAATTTAGTGGAGATAAAAGTTTTAAGAATTGGCTGGCTCCCACCTGTAATCCTAGCTACTCAGGAGGCTGAGATCTGAGGATTGCGGTTCAAAGCCAGCCCGGGCAGGAGAGATCATGAGACTCCTATCTCCAATAAACCACCAGAAAACCGGAAGTGGCACTGTGGCTCAAGGGGTAGAGTGTTCACCTTGAGCTGAAGAACACAAGGACAGAGCCTAAGCCCAGAGTTCAAGCCTCATGACCGACCAAAAAACAAAAACAAAAACAAAAGTTTCAAGAACTTTCCTGTCTGGACTGGCTTCAAACCACAATCCTCAAATCTCAGCCTCCTGAGTAGCTAAGATTACAGACATGAGCCACTGGCACCCAGCTACTCTGCCCTTCTTGCCCACCAAGCTGAATACTCTTTATTGGTGCCATCACTTTTCAGATAAAGATGACATACTCAGCCAGGCCTACCTCTCTCTACCTGGTTAGCTTCTACCTATCCTTCACTTTTCAGCTCTCTGGCCCCTCCCTGGGAAAGCTCTCTCAGGCCCCTAGCCTGAACTAGGCCTTCTGTTTGCCTGGTGTTCTCAAAGCCCCACTGACTCCCACAGGAGTCAGTTTGGAGTTTTTGCTCCCCAGTGATTCTTGATTACCATCACATCCTGCATCTGGTTGGGGCTGGAGCTGTATCAGCTTGTTCTCCACTGCTGGCCTAGCCAGACCCATTCTAGTAAGTGGCTGCCTTAATAAACACCTGTGGCAGAGACAAAGCGACTGAACAAACCTTGCCCCAACTTCCCATCTGCAGTCTCTTCCTGGATCTAGACTGTGACCTCCAAGGGCAGGGCCACAGTTCATTCGTCAGTTTCCCTGCCTGAGCCCTGGCCCAGCTTAGTGGAGGAACAAAGCTTCGTTCAGAAGGAGGGTTAGGATCTGAGCATGGGGAAGGGGGTGGGGGAGCTGAGAAGCAGAGGGGAAGAGTGACAAGACTGGCTTAGGAACAGGAAATAGAAAATGGCAAAAGGTTCAGGGCGTAACAAACACATCAACGCTAAAGCTCACAGAAAAACTCCCTGGGACTCTCCAAATGCTTCAACTTCGTTCAGAGGTGGGGGTGTGGGCAGAACTGGGCTGAAAGTGCTTTGCTGTTCCACTGAGACTTCTGATGTAAAAAACCATCACCTTACTATTTGGACTGTTGCAAGGAAATAATACCAGTTTAATCATGGCCAAAATCCCCCAAACAATTCCACTTATGCCCTGAAACTTACCCATTCTGTGTCATGCCCACTATAATTAGCTCTGGGACCTCATGGGTAAATTCTGTTCCTTCTTGGGGCTTGGGTTTCCTCAACTACAACATGGCAGTCTCCTCATTGTTCCTCAGGCCAGAGTAAGAAGACCCTGGGGCTTCTCAGCTTTTCTATGTAGGAAATAGGGAAGGAATAGAATGCACTGACCTAACACTTCTACCACCAGAACTTTCTGTCTGGGGAGCTATGGTGAAAAGAGCATAATGACATAAGCAGCTCCTATTCATGGTCTTTAAGATCTGCTTAGCATTGATTGTGCTCGTTCACACTGCAAAATCTTTCCTTTTTTAAGCTAGTTTGGAGCTTGAACTGGGTACTGTCCCTGAGCTTTTTTGCTCAAGTCTAGCATTCTACCACTTTTTTTTTTTTTTTTGGTCAGTCGTGGGGCTTGAACTCTGGGCCTAGGTGCTGTTCATATTCTCTTCAGCTCAAGGCAAGCACTCTACCACTAGAGCCACAGTGCCACTTCCAGTTTTCTAGTGGTTTATTGGAGATAAGAGTCTCACGGACTTTTCTGTCCCAGCTGGCTTTGAACTGTGATCCTCAGATCTCAGCCTCCTATAATCAGCTAGGATTACTGGCGTGAGCCACTGGCACCAGACTGCACTCTACCACTTAAGCCACAGTTCTACTTCCAGCTTTTTGCTGGTTAATGGGAGATAAAAGTCTCATGGACTTTCTTGCCTGGGTTGATTTTTTTTGTGCCACAATCCTCAGATCTCAGCCTCCTGAGTTACTTAGGGTTACAGGTACGAGCCATCAGCACCCAACTCTACAGTCTCTTGAATGCTTATTAACTCAGTCATCTTACTCATTATCTATACTTCACATTTGCTATGCGTGTCTACTGTTTATGCACGTTCTTCCTTAAACATTTACTAAGCACAAAAGTTCTCTCCCTGGGGCTGGGAAGGTGGCTCAGTGGTAGAACGCTTGCCTTGCATGCTTGAGGCTCTGGGTTCGATTCCTCAGCACTACATAAGCAAAAAGAAAAAAGCAGGAAGTGGCGCTGTGGCTCAAGTGGTAGAGCGCTAGCCTTGAGCTGAAGAGCTGAGGGACAGCGTCCAGGCCCAGAGTTCAGGCCCACGACTGGACCAAAAAAAAAAAAAAAAAGTTCTCTCCCTGTATTCATCACCATTGATTTCTACTATTAGAAAACCATGTATTTCTACTATTAGTCTACCTTCAGTGTCTCAAGTAAAGAGAGAAAGGCCCATGACAGCTCCCAGAAGGGATCCAGGAGTGACTAACTGGAGCAGAGGGAAGAGAGGAAAAATCTGCAGAGCTGTCTGAGTCAGGGTTTGGAGGAAGGAAGGGTCTAGAAAAGAAGGGTGTAGGAAGAAGGATCATGGGGAGAGAAAAGGAAGTACACTGAGAGGGCTCTGGGGCCAGCACAGGCCTTCCTTCCATTCTGTCCTCACTGCACTCCTTTCTGGCCCATGCCTACCTTCTCTTTGAAGAGCTGCTGGATCTCAGGTACATAGCTCTCAGAATCTGTGGCAATGTAGACTGACTGGGCATTCAGTGCCCTCACCCAGAGCTTCACAGCGCGCCGTATTTCCTTCAGGTCAGGGAGGCACATGGTCATGGTGAGGGGAGATGCTGTGCTTCGGCTGTAGCCCACACACTGCGGGGAGGCCATGAAGTGTGAGCCTGCAGTCCCGTCCTTCAGCATGGCACAGGCGTTCTTCTACAGGGAGATGAGAGGACAAAGAGTGAGAGCTGAAATGGCCCTGGACACCAAGACTTGTTAGTAGAAAAAGAAAGGCTGAACAGGAAGAGCCCAGTGCAGGGTTCTGGGGAAGCAATCCAGGTCCTCACACATGCTCAGCATGTGCTCTACCACTGAGTTATACTCCCAACTCAGCTATATTTTAAAAAAGAGGAAAATGCATGGAAATAGTAACTGTGGGGATCTTAGTTTTGCATTTTCCCCTGGTCTTGCTGAGTTATCTGGGACTTCCAGAATTGTGAACAACTGTGGCGATAAGGGACAGGCTTATCTGATTCCTGACTTTAGTGGAAACACTTCTGATAGCTCCTGCTGAAGTATGCTGTTTACTGTGGGTCTCAGAGATAGGCTTTATCAAGTTAAGGTGAGTCTTTTCCATTCCTGGCTGGTTTTTTTTTTTTGGTTGTGGGGCTTGAACTCTAGGCTTGGGCGCTGTCCCTGAGCTCTTCAGCTCCAGGCAAGCACTCTACCACTTGAGCCACAGTGCCACTTCTGGTTTTCTGGCGGTTAATTGGAGATAAGAGACTTACAGACTTTCCTGCCCTGGCTGGCTTTGAACTGCAATCCTCAGATCTCAACCTCCTGAGTAGCTAGGATTACAGGCTTGAGCCACCGGCACCTGGGTTAGGCTTTTTTTTTTTCAAGCCATGAATAGGGGAGTGCTTTATCCTTTTCTGAGATGATCTTATGATTTTTCTTCTCTAGGTATAAATGCTGTGAATTTCACTGTATTACAGGAAAAAGATTTTGAGTTGCATATCCCTTAGTTTGTTACTTATTTTTACTTGTTTTTTTGGTGCTGGTCCTAGAGTGGAGCTATAGCTCCACTTCTGGCTTTTTGGTGATTAATTTCAGTTAAGAGTCTCATAGAGGGCTGGGAATGTGGCTTAGTGGTAGTGCTTGCCTAGCATGCGTGAAACCCTGGGCTTGATTCCTCAATCCCTGTAAACAGAAAATGCCAAAAGTGCACTATGGCTCAAGTGGTAGAGTGCTAATTCTGAGCAAAAAAAGAAGCCAGGAACAGTGCCCAGGCCCTGAGTTCAAGCCCCAGGACTGACAGGGGAAAAAAAAAAAAAAAAGGTCTCATAGACTACCTGGGCTGGCTTTGAACCTTGAACCAAAGATCTCAGACTCCTGGGTATCTAGGATTACAGGCGTGAGCCACTGGGACATGGAAGATTCTTACTGTTTTTTGGATGGTTGTAGGGCTTGAACTGTGGGCCTGGGCGATGTCCCAGAGCTCTTCAGCTCAAGGCGAGTGCTCTACCACTTGAGCCACAGAGCCATTTCCAGTTTTCTGGTGGTTAAATGGAGATAAATGTCTCTCATACTTTCCAGCCCATGCTGGCTGCAATCCTCAGATCTCAGCCTCCTGAGGTAGTTAGGATCATAGGCGTGAGCCAACAGCACCTGGCTTGATTTTTATCTTATATTTGACTTGAGGTCTGTGTATCTATGTTCATCAGCGAGTAAGGCCACAATTTTGAGTTGACTATCTGAGTGTGGTATTAGTATCTTTTATCTTGTGTTTGTATTAGCATTTTTTATCTTGTGTTCCAATAAAGCATAGATGGGGGCTATTACTTGAATATTTGGCTATAACAACTCATAAAATATTCTAAATCTGTCTCCTCTTCCTTGTGAGAGAGGGAGAATACCTCATCAATTGATGATGAGTGAATTTTTTTCTTCTGTTTATGTGGTACTGAGGAATTGAACTCAGGGCTTCATGTATGCTAGGCAAGTACTCTACCACTAAGCCACATTCCCGGCCCTGAAGAATGAAATTTTATTTATTTATTTATTTAGTCGATCACGGGGCTTGAACTCTGGGCCTGAGCTCTGTCCCTCAGCTTGAAAAACGAATTTTAATCTAATTTGTTTCAATATTTAAAGATCTTCAACAATGAACATTTTTCTTTTTTTGGGGGAGAGGGATAGAGAAGGACTGGTACTAGGGCTTGAACTCAAGGTCTTGTTCGTGTGTGTGTGTGTGTGTGTGTGTGTGTGTGAGATCCTCAGAACTCAGCTCCCTAAGTAGCTAGGATTGCAGGTGTGAGCCACTGGAGCCACAGGTCTCACACTTTTAGTTGGTTTTCTTGCTCACAGCTGGCACTCTACAACTGAGGCCACACCTCTGGTCTGGCATTCAAACCATGATCCTCCAGGTCTCAGCCTCCTGAGTAGCTAGGACTATAGGCACGAGAAACCTGGCACCCAGCTAATAGCAAGCATTTCTAAGACATCTATTTATTTCCTTGTATAAATATGAGACTAAATGGGTGATAAACTAAAAAGTGTTTGCACATTTAAGCAGCCTCCAAATTCTGGAAGGATGACATCTCTATTTCTTGGGAACCTTACTGTCTTCATTATTTTGGTGTGTGTGTGTGTGTGTGTGTGTGTGCGCGTGCAAGTGTGTTTCAGTGTTGTGGATGGAATCCAGGGCCTTATACAAGCTAGGTAAGTAATAGTGAGCTATACCCTTTGCCTCCATAGCTTCTTTTTCAGCAAGGAGCCTCCTAGCTAACCACTGTGTTAGAACAGAAAACTCAGAGGCCTCTCTTCAACATGCTGTCTGGCCAGGATCTGGCTAACCAGCAGCTTATCCATCTGTAAAATAAGGACACAAATGGGAGCTGTTAAAATGAGAGATGGGCCAGGCATCAGTGGCTCATGTCTGTAATCCTAGCTACTTAGGAGACTGAGATCTGAGGATCTCGATTCAAAGCCAACCCAGGCAGGAAAGTCCATGAGACTCTGATCTCCAATAACCACTAGAAAACTGGAAGTGGCGCTGTGGCTCAAGTGGTACAGTGCTAGCCTTGAGCTGAAGAGCTGAGGGACAGCACCTAGGCCCTGAGTTCAAGCCATAGTACTAGCATTTAAAAAAAGAGAGAGAGAGAGAGCGAGAGAGAGAGCTGGCAGGCAAGTACTCTAGAGTCACAAGCCTGCTTCAGCAGTATCATGAGACACAATCCCACATATTTGGCTGAGAAAGTTCTCTGCCCAGTCTGGGACCAGTGGCCCATTTCCCACAGGGGTATGTTCTACTCAGGCATTATGGGAGTCAGCCAGAGAGAGGAAGGGGAAGTTACCCAGTCAGAGCCAATGCGCAGATGAATGCCCACATAGGGACGGATAAGGTGTGCATGAATCAGGGCCTCTCCTGTCTTCACCATCTCGTCTGACCACACCATGTACTTCTGGAGTGACCTGTGTTCCTCCAGGACAGGGAACTGGGCTGGGGCCCCTGGCAAGGCAAGTACTGGATGTTCCTTTGGAGAAAATCTAGGCATAAATGGAATGAAGAGAAGTCAGAGGATGCACAGAGTCTGGCTGCCACCCCCACGGAAAAAGATGGCATTGCACCATGCTCCAGAGACCCTGCAGAGAGGCCCCTGTAACATGCAAGAGGCACAAAGGGTTGTGAAATCCCAACGGGCTGATAAGAAATCTTGGTGGCAGTAACAGGTACAATATGCAATTCTGTCCCGCCACACAGAATTTACAACCTTCTTTGCTTATTTAACAATTAAAATTTTACGGTAAAGCATTCCAACCTTTTATATGTCATGCTGGCTTCCAATCTGTGGTGTGGTAATTCACACCAGGGTGCGGTGTCTGGACCAAGCCTTTGCTCTTTTACCCACATGGCGGGACTGAGATACACAGGTGCTTGCAGAGGTGACAAGCCCCTCTCAGGGACTGTGTACACTAGATTAGATCATTCACACAACACCTATCAAATACATATTTGATTGCCTGCTATGTGCAGGGACCCAGGAAAATGAGGAGCCCTTGTGGGATGTACCAAAGACCATAGATGCCTCCATCATGCCCTCTTCATTTGTACAATACCCTTTTCACAATTATTTTGCACCTGTCTTTTTGCTGGGCCAATACCTCCAGTGTACTCTGATCAAATGCCTGGCATATGTGAGAACTCAGTAAATTTTTTTTTTTTTGCATATGCACCAGTTCTGGGCTTGAACTCAGAGCCTGGGTATTATCTCAGAGCTTTTGTGCTCAAGGCTGATGCTTTACCACTTGAGCCATAGCTCCACTTCCAGCTTTTTGGTAGTTAATTATAGATCAATATCTCACAGACTTTCTTTTTTGTTGGTCATGAGGCTTGAACTCTGGGCCTGGGCACTGTCCCTTGGCTCTTCAGTTCAAGGCTAGTGCTCTACCACTTGAGCCACAGTGCCATTTCCAGTTTTCTAGTGATTTATTGGAGATAAAAGTCTCACAGACTTTCCTGCCTGGGCTGGCTTTGAACTGTGATCCTCAGATCTCAGCCTCCTGAGTAGCTAGGATTACAG